AGAACAGAGCCAGGCAGGAAAGAAGGTTCCAGTAAAACAAGCACTCTGCTTCTAAAAGTGGTGGCTGTGAGCTCATCCAGTCATTCTTACCAATGAGTGAGCAAACAAACTCTACATGTTGACCCGCACCCAGCCTCCACCAGTCAGGGCTCTGGTCTAAACATGGAAATCGGAGCATGCCACTGTCACTGTGTCCCCAGTGTATTTGTCATAAAACAACACTCTCCATGCTCCTTAAGGCCATAGAAACCTGGCCCTCGCCTTTCACACTGAGTCTCTGAGGGGGCCAAGCTGCAGCCCCTGGTTTGCTCTCTGCTCCTTTAACAAGCCCATTCCAACCCCAGGACCTTTATACTTGCTGGGTGTCACTATGACAAAATGCTCATCCCAGATCTGTGGACACCTATACAGAACCTCCCTTCTTTTCACTTACCATTCCTCGTCATAGGGATCTAGCCTGCCATCTTCCCCGCACTATTGCTATGGCAACTGCAGAACATGGTCTACCTGGTTCTCTGTGCACCTGTGCCCAGGCCAGCTGGAGTGGTTGGCTGCCTTACATAATGCTCAGGGTGGACCTACAGCAACAAGTCACTGGTAGCCTCTTGGGTTACCCTCAAGTCTTTTTTTTTTTTTTTAAGGTCTATGGGGCTTGAACTCTGAGCCTGGGGACTGTCCCTGAGCTCTTCAGCTCAAGGCTAGCACTCTACCACTTGAGCCACAGAGCCACTTCCCGTTTTCTGGTTATTTTACTAGAGATAAGAGTTTCACAGTCTTTCCTGCCCGGGCTGGCTTTGAACTGAAATCCTCAGATCTCAGCCTCCTGAGTAGCTAGGATTACAGGGGTGAGCCACCAGTGTCTGGCTCCCACAAGTCTTTAAAACCAGTCTGGAGGGCTGGAAGGCTACCTTGCTTTGCTACCAGTTATAAACAAGAACTCCATGGCTGATCAGGACACTGAGACACTGTCACCATTTGCCAGGAGGCAAATAATTCCAAATATTAATAACACTCTGATTTATGCAGACACTGGGAAAGCACACCTGTGGACCCAGTAACCCAGTCCTCATGGGACATGGTGATCCAGCATGGCTCTTCCAACACCACACTCCCTCTGTGGCTGGCACCTGGGGGTGGGGGGGCAAGGTTGCACTACCTGAACTTTAAGTCAGAAGCTCATCGCGTCCCCAGCCAGTCGCCACGCCCTGACACAGTCAGCCTCTGTGTCCATGGTCCTCCAGTGACTGTGATGGCAGACCACCGCACTGATTCACTGGATGTACAGCAGCACAGGAAATATACTAGGTCCATACTTAGTCCCTGAGATTTGGGAATTCCCTGTTACCTCAATATAGAATCTTGGTTATCTTCACTTACATGGCCATACAGCAAGGTGACCAAGAACAGGGACTTTAGAATTTGATAGGTTGTTGTTTTTTAACTCAGGAACTTGTATGGTAAACACTGTATTACTTCAGTCATGCCTCCAATACTTTTTGCTTCACCTATTTCTTAGATAGGGTCTCTTACTTCGGCCTAAGGCCAGCTTCTGAAAGAAATGCTCCAAGCTAAGATTACAGATGTGTGCCACCACACTCAGCTTGTTCTCTGAAGTTGGGTCTTATAACTTTTTGCCCAGGCTGGCCTCCAATCACTATTTTTTTCACCTCTACCTCCCGAACAACTGGGATTACAGGCATAAGCTACTGAATCCAGCTCAGGCTGAGTCTGTCTGATGTCAAAGCTCTGTCAGTAATGGAATCATCACTTCTCAGGCCTTAATGTCTTCATCACAAAATTAAGTTCTAATCACTATGAGTAGTTACAAAGATTGAATCAAAAGAAAACATATTCTGTGTCAAACAGAGTGCCAACATGCATGCTAAACACTCTGTAGCTAGACAGCAATTAGTATTAAACTCCAGCATATCTAACCTAAGCTACCATCTGTGAACATATCTAGAAGGAGTAGAACACGACAAAGTTACATTTGTTCTCAAGGTGGCTTGACTTACCATATTCAGACTTCACCATATGTCTATCAGGATGCAACCCCACACACGGTTGAGAAGCACCTGCCCTGGGCTGTGTGTGAACTGCCAATGAAGGAATGGAGGACAGCTGCGATTTAAAATGGAGAAGCAGAAAGGGGGACATGAAGGCTTCTGCCCACCAACCAGGCACAGGGCAAGGGCACAGCAAGCAGGAACAGGGCTGACATGCAAAGCAAGCTGGGCTTTACTCTCAGAGGAAGAGAGATGGCAAAAGAGTAAAGAGTGAATAAGGAGCATAGGGAGCTGGGCTCAGTGGCTCCCCCTGTAATCCTCACTACTTACAGCAGTATGGAAGATCATAGTTCAAAGGCAGCCTGAGCAGAAAAGTTCTCAAGACTCTACCTCCAATTAACCAGCAAAAAGTCTAACTGGAGGCGTGGCTCAAGTGATAGCACGTCACCATGAGCAAGCAAGCCCAGCAAGTGTGAGGACCTGAGCTCAAGTCTTAGAACAGAAAAAAAGAAAGAAAGAAAAGAAAAGAAAAAGAGAAACAACCACAACAAAACTGTGCAGCCATGGAAGAAAGCAAACACACATACACTGGGACCTTTGTGGAGGTCCATGCAGGGTTCTGAGAGGAGAACTACTTTAGATGCAGACACAACACATTCAATGGTCAGAACACCACTTCAACGGTCAGGCTTACAATACCGACAGTGCTGGACTCCACTTTCCTTCTAAAGAAATTGCTTGCAAGCAATCTGGCACATCTACACTTGGGATGCTTCAGCACCTAAATCTCAACTGGCACTTGTGAAAGTAATGTCTTCAAGACCACACCCACCAGGACAGATCTGACAGCTAAAATTCCCAAGCAAATGCCTGTCAGTTCCCAGAGAATATCCCGTGTAAAATAACCACTAGCATTGATGTTACAAGTCAGTCAAACACAAATTTTGGTATAGAATTATTCTGAAGTCTTCAATACATTGAAATGAACATTTTCATGGGCTCAAAATGACTAATACAAGTGAAAACCATAAACTATCCTGAATTATTTTTTTTTCTTTTCCATTTTGTCAGTCATGGGTCTTGAACTCTGGGCCTGGGCCCTGTCTCTGAGCTCTTCACCTCAATGCGAGCACTCTACCACTTGAGCCACAGTGCCACTTCCAGTTTTCTGGTAGTTAATTGGCGATAAGGGTTTCACAGACTTTCCTGCCCGAGCTGGCAGATCTCTTCAGATCTCAGCCTCCTGAGTAGCTAGGATTACAGGTGTGAGCCACTGGCACCGGCTCTGAATTCTTAATTTTTAAAAAAAACCACAGGGTCAACTACACAGATACATTTTATGCCACAACATAACCATATCTTAACAGCACACAGCTAACGACAAAGTGGGCCTAATTTTCCTAATACAAATGAAACGTTCATTACTAGCAGACTCCTTACATCACACCCAGTGAGCAATATGCTGGTCATCAGAATGAGAGAAGCCCATCCACTGATGCCACACATGCTACTAGAGAGGAGGTCTGCCCACTGATAGAACATCTGGCATCAAAGCAGACCTCTACATCTGATATTAAAACTTGTCAAAAGTAAAGGAAGATTGTAAAAGAGCCAAGAAAAAGATACGCTTATTTCCACAACTTTTGAATAGCGTGCAGACTTCTATAAACACAGATTCATTTGATATGTGGAATATTAAAGCCAAACACACCAAAAATATTACTCACCTCATGCGATAGAAGAACTAATAAGCCTAAGGTCAAATCTTTAGGCACCTCAACGTGTGTACAGCGATGTGACTCAACAGAACAAAGCACTTCTAGGTTCTACTCTGGAATCGTTCACTAACTCAGTGGAGAAGCAAACTCATTTGGTGACCAGATTCACATTAGGAATCAATCTTAAAATAGGAAAACAAACAAAACTTTTGGCATCTAAGCCTGTAACTGTGCCGGTGAGGGCCTGACGATCTACTCTGTTCTTTCTTCCCTCCCCCTTGCCATTCCAGACATCACAGGCCTTCAAATGCATGTCAGTAAATCTCCAAGTTTCAAATAATAAAAACCATGTGCCCCGTGTGTTTCCCGGACTCACTCTTTATGATGGAGACGTCGGCAGTAAAATAAACAGATTTCTGATAGAGAAAAATAATGAAAGGAAATCAAAAGAATCCATTCCAAAAATGTCCCACCTCCTAATGCTACAAAGAGTGAACTTATTGAATGTGGCTGCCTGATGAAGCTGGACTTGTGAGTTCTGGTTAGGAGCATCTGTACATGGTAAAAGGTGTCTCAAGTCTCCACTGATGGACGAGGAATGAGAAACACAAATTGTTTCCAAGTCTGAGAGCTCTGAGCAAAGCAGTCAAATACATGACATAGTTTTTTTTAAGTGTATTTACTAAGATTTTTAAGATAGTATGTTTCTGACACCCATAAATTTTTGCAACTGCAATTATATTGACACCAGAAAAAAAGAACAGTACTCTAGAAAGCATAAAACCCTTGTAACAGGCACTCTTAATGTTGTAGATACAGCCAGAGCCTCTTCTAGGAAGAGGATTTTCCAAGACAAAAGACTTAAACATTTGTGTTTGCTCCACTACGATCTCAAAAACAACATCAATATTCCCTTCCCAATCAATGGAAAATTATAAAACAGAAAGTTCTAAAAATGAAAGTTGAGTAAACTTGAAAGCAAAAAAAGGACAGGAACCTCACACTGGGGAGGGTGGGAGAAGGTGAAACAAAAGTCTGAACTAAAATCCCTACTACGAGTGAGACGCAAGGGCCCTGGCACTGCCAGGCCAGGCCCAGACGCAAAAAACCCATGCCACACCAAACGCACATGATGAAGGAACACACGGATGCATGGTGTGAAGGAACAAAAATGAACATCTGGAGGAAGGAATGTGGGTGGTGCTATTTTTTTTAATCAAGAGCTGGTCTAACATCTAGGTCATGAATTCATATAAATTTTTATTTTTAAACTCACCTGATTCATTTTCAGTTCCTGTTGTGTTCTGAAAAGATACACACAACAAAGAAACTTCTTTGATTACATGAGCCCTAAAAAGAAAAACAGACAATTGTAATATGTACCTGCCTACAAAGGTACAGTGATTTAAAACCACAAACAGAACTGCAGTTTGCTTAGGGGACATTCACACAGATCACCTTCCTGCTAGGCTATGCTGACAGCTCACTACTCAGACTCCCTTCCATATAGCAAATGCATTTCCTATGATCCTTGCCCAGCCCTCAGTTCTTTGGAACTGCATCATATATTTGCTCAGGAACTGCATCATTCCTAAGAAGTGAATTAGCTTTAAATAGTCCAAAGCACAAAGCACTGAGGAGTGGCCTGCAGTGCCTCTCCCTTCCAGTAATGTGCTACATGCAAACAATGAGACCCCATTATATTCCTGTTTCTCCAGTTCTGGAGGTTGAAAGGCAGATTTACTAACTGGCTGCAGGAAATTCCCTTTGAGGAAAAGAGTATAAAACATGCAGTAAAATGCAACTGTTTTTAACAAAAAAGAGGTTTGGAAAGAGCTACAAATGAGCCACACAATTCATGTTCAACATATTCACAGTATAGCAATGGATGGGCCATACACAGAAGATAGGCCCCCAGAAGACAATCTTGCCTCATGATGCCACAGTTGTCTCTACATTGTGTAGCACACTGATGATGGCCACAGGGACAAAGCTGCCTAATGATCTTCTCAGAACATACCCTGTCCTTAGGTGGTGCTTGACTGCATTCATTTCTAGGAAATAATGCAGATGGCCCTTTGTACAGTACATGTCTCCAGTCACCTGACGTTCACAGTATATGAAAAGCACACCACTTTAAGTAGAACCGCTGTCATTTCTAAATGTTTCCAGTACTTGCACGCATTCATACATACCCCATAAAGTCTAATTCTTATTTGTTCATGCAGTTGCGAGAAATCACTTCTCTCTCCTTCCTTGTACCAGAAATATGGTTATTCCCATTGTGAATAATCCAAAGAATATGTAACTGAATAGCATTCTTGATGCTGCTAACAATACCCTGCCTCCTACCATCAGAAAGAACTTGGCTTTGACATTTTACCTTTTGCTCAGTTCTGCAGGAAGGAGAGCTGTGTTTTCTTTTCTTGAACTACCATTAGCAAGGAAAGGCACTTGTATTTAAATGAGGGCTAGTTCACCTGTTTCTTATTTGAATGTTACAGTATGGAACATTGCATCTTGAAAGTTACATCCTGAAAGAGGTTCCTACTGGCCAAACCAATACAAACTCTATACGCAAATAGCCACAGAATGAAAAGTCAAGATAACGGAAAGATAACCCATGAAATCCACATCCATAGGCCTAATGCTGAGCATCTTTTTTTATATTTGATGTCCCTTACTGTACACCACAAATTGAACATAACCAATTCTAGTTGGTTTAAAATGGTTATATGGTTATATGTGTATCTGGCTATTAAAAAAAGCGAAAGGTTCAGGGTCTCTAAGATTACACAGCTGAGGCCCCAATCATAAATGCCCACTGAGCACCATCAGTTCCACGAGGTGGTCCTGGTGGCCATATGTCCCAGGGCTTCACTGTGTGCTCCAGACGAGGGGGCATTTTCACCACTTTGCAGAGGCCACCGTGTATCACAGCCTTGCCTCATATGAAATGCATGACTCAAAGTACTAATACGTCCACAGAGCTGTGCAGGCATCACCACCATCAATTCAGGCCATTCCCACCAGCACAAAGTGAGCCCCTGTACTCAATGGCAATGATCCTGTCCTTTCCTACACCCCTCTCCCTGGTCCCCACACCAGATAACTACTAGTCTACGTTCTGTCTCTATGGAGTCTCCAATTCTGGTCATGTCATACTGTCAGAGGTCAAAATTTACTAAAGATCTTAAGTAATATTCTTTTTTTCTGTGGGTCACGTGGTTTTAACTCAGGGCCTTAGGCAGTGGATCCCTGAGCCTTTCTGCTCAAGGCTTGGCGCTCTACCACTTTGAGTCACAGCTCACTGACTTTCCTGCCTGAGCTGGCTTTGAACTACAATCCTTAGATCTCAGCCTTCTGAGTAGCTAGGATTATAGGCACTCAGACATCAGTGCCTGGTGTTTAAATGATATTCTTTTTTTTTTTCTTTGTCAGTCGTGGGGCTTGAACTCTGGGCTTTGGCGCTAACCCTCAGTTCTTCAGCTCAAGGCGAGCTCTCTACCACTTGAGCCACAGCGCCACTTCCAGTTTTCTAGTGGTTTATTGGAGATAAGAGTCTCACAGTCTTTCCTGCCCGGGTTGGCTTTGAACCAAAATCCTCAGATCTCAGCCTCCTGAGTAGCTAGGATTACAGGCATGAGCCACCAGCGCCGGGCTTAAATGATATTCCTAGGAGATAAAGTAATATTTATTGAAATGAACTCCAGGGAATGAAAATGAGGTATTTTTCTTTTTCTTTTTGTTTTCTTTTCTTTTTGTCTTATTTATCTGTCTTTCGAAAGGCAGAGGGACACAGAAATGGAAGGACAAAGGGTGAACAAATGCAGCAGTGGTACTCACTAGACACTATATTGAAAATAAACCATATAACTGTGTGGGGACAGGAGGGAAAAACTGAAAGAGTGAGGGAAGGGGGGATACTGTCCAAAAGGAAATGTACTCTTTACCTGATTTATGTAACTGTAGCCCCTCTGTACATTACCCTTATAATAACAATAAAATAAAATAAGATCTTAAGTGGTTTATTTTGGATTCTCAAACTAGGCACCACTACCCTCCAAAGAGAAGAATAACCATTCCTAGCCCACCTCTCCAAGCTCCTGCCTCCCCATTAGTACCTACTATGTTTCAAGCACTTTTCTTGAGCAATCATTAGGGAAGGCTCTTGTACTCTAGGAAGGGGGGCTAGAGAGAAATTACATACAAGGCATAGTATATCAGGAAAGAAGGGTCTTAGAAAACAAGTAAGAGGCATTAGGGAGAGGGAGATGAGTTACATCTCTGCCTCTACCTCCACACTTGCCAATCCAGCAACCTGGTCTTAAAGGACAAAGGACGAGTGAATGCTAGGAAGAACAGCCAAGAGTCCAGAAGATAACGGATGAAACTTCACACCACAGGAAGGAAAGCAAGAGGGTGGCTGTGAAGCAGCCTCAGGTGTAGGGCAACTTGTAGGAGATCAATGCAGGAGATCAATGGTGCTGGTTCAGCCCAGTTGGAAGAAGTGACTGGGCCCAGGGGAGACTTTAAAACCAGAGCCTGAGTTTGTTGTTGTGTTACATGTGTGAATCAAGAGGAAGTCAGGGATGACACAGAGTATGGGGAGGACAGCTGGGCTTTCTGGGGCTTTGCCTTCATCTCCCCATTCTACAACCTTTGCAATTACTAGATCCCAGGCACCACCCTCAACAGCTGCTCTGGTCTAACTTCTACTGTGGGTTAACTAAAACACCATAGAACTGAAAACATTGCATTCTTTCATTTACTATCAACCAGTGGCAACTTTTTCTCAACTATGAAAGTAACAATCTGGTCAGATTACTACATGAGTAAACATCTTTTCTGATTCTCCACATTGTCTGCTCCCTCTTTGTCCAAACACAAATGTACTCATCCTTACCAGAGAAGACACAATCCTAACACTTTCTTTTGAAGGTTCATCATGGACCTGTGAGCAGGCTCCCTCTGTCACTTCTAATTCTAGTGGCTAAAAACCAGGCCTCTGTTTTAGAGACTCTGTCTCTCCTGACTCATAACATGATCAAATTACATAGGTAAAATATTTTGCAATATCCAAAACATTACAAATCCAATAGTGGCTTCCTAATTCCCAGTTTAAAATTAAATTCTGTACCAAGTTCCACTAAACATGGAGTTGAGAGGTGAAGCTAGGCACAGCAGTAACAAGTCTGCAGTCCTAACCGCATGGGAGGACAAGGCAGGGGGAGGTAGGGGGACTTGAGCCCAGGAGTTCAAGAACCAGCTTGGGCAATCCAGCAACAACCTCTAGGCAGTCTCTAAAAGTCTAACATGGTAATGACGCTCAGGAGATCACAGACAGGACTTGCTCAATCTTCAAAAGCACATGGAATTTAAAAAAAAAAAAAAAAGCCAGGTACCAGTGGTTCACATCTGTAATCCTAGCTACTCAAGAGGCTGAGATTTTAGGATCACAGTTTGAAGCCAGCCATAACAACAAAGTCTGTGAGACTCTTATTTCTAATTAGCCACCCAAAAAGCTGGAAGTGGAGCTGTGACCCAAGTGGTAGAGTCGCAGTCTTAAAAAAAAAAAGCTCAGGGATAGCGCCCATGACCTGAGTTCAAGCCCTAGACCTAGCACCAAAAAAAAAAAAAATTAAAGATACAAGGATCATAAATAAAGCAATCATTTTTCATACTTTGAAAATGTTCATCTGCGCAGCCCAGCACACCTGAGTCCCTGAATGAACAGTGTGAAGATCTAATGCTCAAAACACCATTGTGCCGGGTACCAGTGGCTCACACCTGTAATCCTAGCTACTCAGGAGGCTGAGATCTGAGGATCATGGTTCAAAGCCAGCCCGGGCAGGAACATCCGTGAGACTCTTATCTCCAATAAACCCACTCAGAAAACCAGAAGTGGGGGCTGGGAAGGTGGCTCAGTGGTAGAGCGCTTGTCTTGCATGCCTGAGGCTCTGGGTTCAATTCCTCAGCAGCACAAAAGAAAAAAGAAAAAAGCCGGAAGTGGCGCTGTGGCTCAAGTGGTAGAGTGCTAGCCTTGGGCTGAAGGGCTCAGGGACAGCGCCCAGGCCCCACAACCGGACCCCCCCCCAAAAAAAAAGAAAAAAAAGAAAACCAGAAGTGGCACTGTGGCTCAAGTGGTAGAGCGCTAGCCTTGAGCTGAAGAGCTGAGGGACAGTGCCCAGGCCCAGAATTCAAGCCCCATGACTGACCCCAAAAAAACACAAAAAACACCATTGTGTACAACAGACTGGAAAACAGAGGTTCTGCTGCCCTCAGGGGCTTTAGAGCCATAGAGTGCACATGAGAAAATGGGGCGATCACAACTT